GGAAGAGGAGGAAGAGGAGGAGGAGGAGCGGGAGGAAGAGGGGGACAGGGGCGCCGTCGGCTTGAAAGCAGTCTCTCCCAGCGCGGCCAGAAGCGGAGTGGGAAAAAGGGAAAGGAGAGGGAGGAAGGAGAGGAGATCGAAGCCGTGCCCCCCCAGCTCACTCAGGCCGCCACGCGCACGTTGGGCTGGCTCTACTGCCGCGCAGCCCGACTGGGCTGCTGGACTCCAGGTTGGCTACTCATTCCACTCCGGGTCACAATTGCTGGCCGCGAAGCCTGGCAGTCTCCCACATTACTCAGGATGCCCACTGCCAGGAGCGTCCGAAGCCGTTCTCGCACTGCCAGGCCGCCCTGGTACCACCGGAATGACTCGAAGATCTCATTCACCTTTGCGAGGACCTCGATCTTGTCGGCCTCCTGGCGCACCTCGGCATCGGTCAGCTGCCCGTCGAGCATCCTCAGCTTGTGGTCCAGCACCTGCACGGTCACTCGGATGTGTTCACCATCTCGGCCTGGTCTTCCACCTCTTCCCCCTCGCACGCGTTGAGCCGGTCTTGCAGGTCGACCAGCATGGGCTCGGCAACCCCTCCCAGCATGCCCTCGAGTCTGGCGTCGCGGTAGTCTTCCAGAACCGCTGAACAGCTGTCTGACTCCTCTCCATTGGCATCCTGCTCTGAGACGGCGTCCGCCGTATCGACGCCCGCGTCCCTCTCCCAGCACGGCAGGCAGCTCGGCGGCAAGTGCGCCTCCGCTGATTTCTGCAGACTTGTCCAGCGCCTCCGTCGCCGCCATGTGGACGACGGCCGCCCCTGGCCCTGCCGCTGTCAGCGGCCGGGCGCCTGGGTTGCCAGCCGCCGCGAGCCTCCCCAACTTGGTCTCGATGACGTTGTCGATCGCCGCCTCCGCGGCCGCCGTCGGCACCAGCGCGGGCAGAACGCAGCCAGCCGTGGCACCACCGCCCGCGCCTCGATGGCCTGCACCCTCGCCTCGATGGCGTCCACCCGCTGCGTGAGCGCATCCATCTTCCACATCATGTCGAACGCAAGCTCCAGGTCGAACTCGGCGTCGCGGGGCCCGATCGCACCGACAGCTTCGCCGCTGGATCGGGCTCCAGGAAGCACGGCCCCCACTTCATGCCGCCATGGCCGCTGGCTCCCCTCGCCCTCGTCCTTCTCGGGCGTCTGCTGCTGCTGCTGCTGCTGCTGCTGCTGCTGCCGCCGCGCTGGCTCCGCTCGTGGCGGGGTGCACGGCGCTGGCAGCGGCTCCGGTCGCTCCTTCAGCACCATCGTCCGCTGCGCGGCCGGTGATGGCGTCCGCCAAGGCCGCTTTGCCCCCTCTGCAGGCGTCGGCAACGACGCGCAGCAACTCCGCCTCCAGGCCCTCCAGGCCTTGTTCTGCTTCGTGGCCTCGCTCCTCTCCTCGGGCTCCGCCTGCTGCTCCTCCCTGGAGGGCGCCGCGCCCCTCGCTCGCCTCCCAAGCTCCTCCGCCACCGAACAAAGACCCTGCGGCACCTGTGGCGGCCCTCGCGCCGAGGGCCGCGGCAGCGTCGCGCGCCGCCGGCCCCCTTCGCCGTGGTCCACCAGCTCCTCGACGGGTATCGCACCCATGGACGGCGCCACGGCCATCCCCGCAGCTGCTGCGGGCGCCCTCTGCTGCGCCTTCTGTGGAGGCAGCGGCGGCGCCTCCGCGGCGGCTCGCCTCCGCGACTGAGCACAGGTCGCCAGCTTGCGCGCCAGGCCACCGGCGCCGCCTCCGCCGGCCCGGCCTGCCCCGCCGCATTGCATGAACTCCTGCCGCGTCCGGTCACATGCGCGCCCACCCTCTGGGCTCTGGTCGCCCGACAGCCCCCCTTGAGCCAAAGTGGCTACGGCAGGAGGAGGAGGATGAGGAGGAGGGAGAGGAGGAGGAGGAGGAGGAGGAGGAGGAGGAGGAGGAGGAGCAGGAGGAGGAGGAGGAGGACGAGGAGGGGGACCTCCCCATCCTCCCTTCGACCCCGCCCTGCCTGTGGCAGTGGCGGTCGAAACTTGGCCCATCATGACCGTGTTCGCCTGCGGTGCCGTGCGCGCCGCTCGCGAGAGGACGTGCACATCATGGCCGCCAACAGGAGCCGGTCTGGCGCCACCTGCGCCTTCCTGGTCCGGCGTAGCCCTGGCACGGGCGGCCCGCGCGCGCAAGCCGGGTCGGGGCAAAGTTGCGGGCGCCGGGGTCCCAGTTTTCCAGAGGTAACGGGAAATACGATGCCCGAAGAAGAAAAGCAAGAAGAAGCAGAAGAAGAGGAACATGATTACGAACGATAGTAACAGTGATAATGCGAAGCAGGACGAGAACAAGAAGAAGAAGAAGAAGAAGGCGCATTGGCACGGACATGCATGTTCGGAGGACCCCGCTGATTTTCTGGGTTGGCGCTGGACTGTCTCTCCCTGGAGCGCGGAGCGCTACAGGGGCGGGCGTCGCCAGGGGGTGTCCAGCGTCCCCAGAGATCCGCGCAGACCCCCGAAAGCTCATTTTTGTGCCCATGCCTTCGTCTTCTTCTTCTCCTTCCTCTAGAGGAGGGCGACCGCGACAAGTTGGCATGGAGGTTTGCTGTGCTGGCATGTAACATGCCTGTTGGAGCCCCCAATGTTTTGACAGCATCCGGGTGTTTTGCGGAGGACATTAGGAGTGCTATTCGGACGCACGCCTGTCGAGGATGGACAGCCCCCTGTCGTATGTCCCCGAGTTTGGCCTCGAAGTGTGAGTCCGTTCGAATGCCCCACACAGTCGGGGATCGGGGTCACCATGCCCCCTGTCATCTGTCATCCCTCCACTTCTACTCATATCCCCCCAGCACCGTTGGAGCCGGAATTTTGACGGGGGCAGCATCCACGAAGGGCATTGTTTTGGGCTCTCTGAGTCTATAGAGTGCCTCCAGCGGGCAATCCGCCGACAGTGTTGCGCAACAGAAGGCAGCACCAGTACCTGGAGCAGCCGCCCGCCATCGCATCTTCAGTGGGTACAGCGAGGCATAGCCCGGTTCGTCTTATTCGTCGTCACTATCTCCTCTCACCCTCGCCGCCGCCGCCGCTTTTAGTGCCCGCAAGGTCTTCAGCAGCGCGGAGGAGGGGCAGAACTGCATAGAGGCCTGCAACATGAAGCTGAAGCTCAGAGAGAGCAGGAGCCCAGCGCTTCCAAGACGAGCCGATGCGTGTTGCTTATTTTTGGAAACATTCTGTAAACATACATTCGTTGAGCTCCGAGCGGGTTTCTTGGATCGGCGCTGGGCCCCCCCTGGCGGCGGCGGCGCTGCCCCTGGCACGCGGAGCGCGCCAGGGAGGGTGTTCAGCGCAGGTCCAAGAAGTCCGTTCGGACCTCCGGAAGTTCATTTTTATACTTGATGTGTTGATAACTTCTAGATTTGTTTGTTGTTTGCACGCGCGTTGCATCATCGGCAGAGCACGCGGCGTGCGGCCCATGTCGGATCGTTCACGGAATTGGGCCGCTCGGCTCCGAGAGGCCGCCCTGGGTTTTGTCAGGTCCCAAGAGGATGGCTAGCGTGGGGCTGTCCAAGAAGACCCTGATTCTCACTTTTCAGTCGCAGGGTTTGCCCCATCGTGTCCTGTACAATCGGCGATAGGGGCTTTGGTTCAGTGGAGAGACAGGGGAACGCATGATGATGACGATGATGATGATGAGGGTGAGGGTGAGGATGAGGATGAGGATGAGGATGATGATGCTGATGATGATGCTGATGGTGACGATGATGCTGATGCTGATGCTGCTTATGATGATGATGATGATGATGATGATGATGATGATGGTGGTGGTGTTGATGATGATGAGGATGATGATGATGGTGGTGACGATGATGCTGATACTGATGATGGTGACGGTTATGGTCATGGTGATGGTGACGGGGATGTTGGTGATGATGCTGATGATGATGATGATGATGATGGAGATGATGTTGTTGATGGTGATGATGATTCTGCTGATGGTGATGATGATGATGATGATGAGGAGGAGGAGGAGATGAACGAAGAGGAGCAGGAGTGTCACAAGGAGTATGAGGATGATGAGTGTAACAGGGGGAGGCGGAGGATGGGAAAGGGCGGAGCGGCAACGACGAGAATTGAACCGCATGCAGAAAGGCGGCCTGCTTTGTGGCGAGAGTGCCGTTCTCAACGACTGAAAGAATGCACCGATTTGGAAATGAAGCCAACCCTACGATGGTAGCTCCATTCCCATAGTCGAAATCACCCCGATTGAACAAACCGTGATGCAGTTTCATGTGTTCAAATCCAGCGTGTGAACAAAAACAACACGTTGGAGAGGCTGCAGCCTTGGTGGAACATGTGAGTGGAGATAGGAAAGCAGTACCTTTGACATGTCATAGTACCGAGGAGGAGACAGGAGGAGGCGAAGGACGCTGAGTAGGGAGGGAAAGGGGACGATGAGGAGGAGAACTAGGAAAACGAGGATGCGAAGGAGGAGGAGAATGATGATGAGGAGGACGAGACATGCTGATGAGGGGGAGGAGGATGAGGAGGGAGGGGGGGCAGTGGGACAAGGAGGAGTGGATGAGAAAAGAGGGAGGACGGGAACGATGAGGGGCAAGATGAGAAGGGAGTGGGAGCAGCAGGGGGGAGGGAATCGAGGAATCGAAAAGATGGATTAAGGCGCGTGGATTTGCGACGGGCCCCATTTCCATGCGAAGTCGACGCGACGCACTCGGTCGCCAAGTGGGGCGGCACCGGCTTAATGTTTGGCGTGTGTGTGTGTGTGCGTATGTGTGCGTGCGTGCCTGCGTGCGTGCGTGTGTGTGTGTGTGTGTGTGTTGTGCGTGTGTGTGTGGGTGTGTGTGTGCGTGTTTGTGTGTGTTTGTGTATGTGTTGGGGGGAAGGGTACGCTCCGCGATCACTGGATCTGACGCCCACGCACCAGACCCACGGATCAGTAGTCCATGTTAGCGTGTGCGCGAGGAAAGTGTTGATGAGGAGGAGGACGATGTGGAGCAGCTGCGAAAATGTCCAGAGCGCCCACGAGCCTTTCGAACGCGTGCAGTAAGCAGTTGTCCTAAAGGCCCCCTCCTCCACAGACTTCCGACGGGCAGTTTGGTTCAGTCCGCGGGCACCAGAGGTTTCGACCCTCCCGTGCGGGGCGACTTTCGTGTGGTACAACATATGTTAAGTATGTTATCTACGTTTTTTTGCCATCGGTGTGGTGCAGTAAAGAGCGTGCAGTGGTGTGGGCGCGGACGGGCGGCGGGCCGGGGCACTGGGCCCGGGCCAGCCGCGATGGCGGACGAGCCTTCCTGGGTGAGGCGACGATGCTCGCTGCGGCTGCTGGGGGAGTCGACCAGCGGAGGCCGCCGCTACCGCTGCTGCGCGAGCGCGGTCCGTCCCCTCGGCGAGCGTCGGGTCGCGCCTGCGCTCGGGGTGTGTCCTGCACGCGTGGGCCGAGGCCCCGGCTCCCGCCGTCGTCGTGGCGGGACAGCAGGAGCGGCAGGGGCAGGAGGCGGCGATGCGGCCTGGGGCGCTGAGGAGCGACGCCGGGCCGGTCGAGCTGCAGGACGTCGAGGCGCAGCAGGGCGGCGACGCGGTCGAGGCCGCGGCCGCCCCTGGCGACTGGCGGCCGCCCAGTCGCCCTGCCAGGGCGCGGCCATGCAGTGGCCGCGGCGGTCCCTGCCGCCGTGCGGGGCCTTTCGCAGCACTTGTCGTGGCCGACGGGGAGCGCGACGACGTCGAGCTGAAAGCGACGGCGGCGGTCGCGGCCGAGGAGCGCCGGGCCGCCGGCGGCGAGCGGGGGCGCGCCCGGTCGGCCAGATGGTGGCTCTGCGGGCGGCCAAGGCCGCGAGCCGTCTGCGCCGTGCGAGGGCCAGGCTGAGAGGTCGGCTCACGATCGGGGGAGCGTAAGACCCGGGTTTACCAGGACTCGGGTTCGCCATCGTTTTTTGACGACCGCGCCTCGGATTTTGACGAGGAGGAGTTTCGTGGGATGTCTGCAGCGGGAGGCCTCGTCAAAATGCAGGCTCGGCCTCGTCATTTGTTTGACGACCTCGCCGGGGATTTCCGAGTCCCCTGTACCCAGGTCTTACGTCCCCTTGACACGAGCGCGGATCCTACCCGAGGGGCAAGGCCAGGTGGGCGACTTCCAGGAGCGGCGGCGACGACGTGCTGGAGGGGGCCATGGCCATGGCCAAGAGGGAGCGGCTGGTGATAGAACGTGCCGAGGAGGTCCGCAGGCTGTTCGGGGGCGGGTGCATCCCCTCCGCGGGCGGGGACCTCGAGGAGTCCGAGGCGGGCGGCGACGGGGGGGGACTTCGGCGGGGGCGAGGCGTCGGAGGAGGAGCACCCGGCTCAGAAGCCGTGCGCGGAGGCCGGGGCTGACGCGCTGGAGGGGTCGCCCTTGCAGGCAGACACGGGCGCCGACGGCGTCGGCGAGGAACGCGGCGCGGGCAAGCCTGTGCTGGCGCCGCCCTCGCCCGAGGAACCGCCTGGCGATTCCGACGAAGTGGTACAGTCGGGCCCCTGAAAGAACGCTACATAAGGAACGAAGCCCCTTTTTGGCCCTTAAAGCGCCTCCGTGCCCGAGGAGGGCGAGAGGGACAGCAATGGAGGAACCTGAGGAACATCGAGCCGCTTCCGAACGCAAGCAGTTCCTTGTTTCAGCGTCTTGACTGTAGTGGGTACGCCGTTGTAGACGTCCCCGTGCCGCCCCCTCCCTGGCGCCACCTCGTGGGTGCCCCAAGCCCAGGCGGAAGCCCAAGGGGGCCAAGAAGGCCGCGGTGGAGGCGCAGCAGCGCCTCGAGCAACAGGAGCAGGCGGACAGGGCGCGAGCGTCCAAGAATCGCGTCGCGAGCCCGCCCGCGGCGCGGTCGCGGACAGCGTCTCGTCGGACGTGGAGGAGGCCGAGGCGCGGCGGCAGGTCGAGCTGGCGGCAGCGAAGACGGCCGAGCGGCCGAAGCAGGAAAAGCAGCGGCCGAGGCCGAGTTTGCGGAGGCCACGGGGCTGCAACGCGAGGTAGGGTTCGCAGCGGCTGACGAGGCGCGCCTGGCGGCATTCCTGCCGCTGAGCCAGGACGTGCCCCAAGGGGGGCCGCTGAGGGGGAGGTGGGGGCCCTGGAGAGTGCGGAGGCAGCTCTCGCGTTTCTCATTGCGTGTAGTTGATCGGTTCGCGATGGCGCGCTGCACGCGCGAAGGAATCTGCAGCGATGTCACCGCTGAGGAATTGAGGTGTCTCGGAAACGTTGGTTCGAGGGGATTCGACCCTTTGCCTGTGGTCGGTCATTGACACTAGCACAGTGATGCAGCATATGGGTTGCAATCTATGCTGTGCTACATTGGGCGAACCCACGTGGAGCATTCCCTTGTGGAAATCGCAGTTGCCAACTCCACTGCTCGCGCAATCACCCCCCCCCACCCACCCGCAATTTGTTTTGCAAAACGCAACGGCGGCGACTGCCATGAATGCTTGGTGTTGGCCGGTGCATCTCTGCGGCCGCGCTAGTCCGCGCACGCTCCCGCACGCGGCGGCCAGCTAGTCTGGCGTGGCCGACGCGGCCACGGTGGCGCTGACCTCCTGGGCGCTCTCCAGCGGGCGCTTCAGTGTGAGTCGGCTACTCGGGCGGGCGCGGTATCGTGGCAACGTCGGCAACGGGAGACACGATGATGATAGTAGCGACGCAGGTGACGATGATGACAACAGCGACGGCACGGCCAGTGACAGCGCCGATCGTGATCACGCCGATGACGATGACGGCGTTTTCGGGTCGGCGATGACGGTTTTGGAAGGAGTTCGACATGCGCGCGCGGCCGACGCGCGAGAGTGGCCCACATGGTTTAATTTGACACGGATCGTGCCTCCAGCACTCGCGCAAGGGCGATTTGATGCCGACATGCGGCGCGAAAGGCCCGTTTGGCAGAGTGTACAGGACATTGTGTCTGAAGAACAGTCATCGTTTGCTGGAGAATTCGCAAGAGCGCGGATTCCAGTGTAGTGAAAGATGATGTAACAAAACAAATGTTTACAACAAATTCAGATGTTTCGGAACACTCTATTTTGACATCCTTACGAAACCAATGGTTTTTTAGTGGTTCCGGCTTGCGCGCGCGACCACGCGCGCGCGTGCACTTCGTCTCGTTTTTTGCATGGGGCTCTTGCGCCAGCACGCGCGCAAGGGCGTTCGAACGATTTCGACATGAGCGCTCGAGAGGCCCGTCGTGTAGCATAGCATTATATGGACATGTTGGAAAACCCTTTCGTCTTCTGAAGACTTCGCAGCAGCGCGAGCAGCGGTTATTTTTAATTGTTGTTTTGCAATTCTCACTGTGATGCCGTGTTTGTTCCCTGACAAATGATTTCGGGACACTCGGTGCTGGCATCCTTGCGAAACTTAGGGGTTTTGACAGATGCTGGCATGCGCGCGCGACGACGCGCGCGCGTGCACTTAATCTTGTTTGTTGCAAGGGGTTCTTGGAAATCGATGGGTTGTGATAAACAGGTGCGCGCGCATAGTCTTTTTTGCAGAGGATCAGGGGGGTGAAAGCTTTGTGCTGCCTGGGATGTTACGAGTTCATAGTAGTTAGGATGGACGGTTGGGCAGAATCATATGTACATTGCAATACGAAAAAAGGTGGAGCGTTAACCCCATAAGGGGGGTATATCTTAATCGTTTATTAGAAAGGAGAATCTACGCTGTGCAATCGGCGTGGCGCAATCCACCCTGCCGAACTTGACGTTGTCAACCCCACTGCTCGCGCAATCATCCCACCCACCCACCCGCAATTTGTTTTGCAAAACGCGACGGTGGCGATTGCCATGAATGCTCGGTGTTGGCCGGTGCATCTCTGCGGCCGCGCTAGTCCGCGCACGCTCCCGCACGCGGCGGCCAGCTAGTTTGGCGCGGCCGACGCGGCCGCGGTGGCGCTGACCTCCTGGGCGCCCTCCACCGGGCACTTCAATGCGAGTCGGCGACGTGGTGTGGCGCGGTATCGTGGCGACACCGGCAATGGTAGACACGATGATCAGAGTATCGGTGATGGTGACGATGGTGGCGATGACGACGGCAAGGCCAATGACGGCGCCGATGTTGATCACGCCCGCCGATAACGATGACGATGTCCTCGCGTCGGTTTTGAAGGTTTTGGAAGGAGTTCGACATGCGCGCGCGGCCGACGCGCGCGAGTGCCCCGCTTGGTATCATTTGAGACGGGGCGTGCCCCCCAGCACGCCTGCACAGACGTTCGGATGAGTTCGACATGCGGCGCGAGAGGCCTGTTTGGCAGAATGTGATGGCAATGTTGACAGATCGATCGTTTTCCGATGGATTCGACAGCGCGCGCGCAGGCATGTATTTAACACGGATGTTGCAACAACCATGTGTTGTTAAGTGTTTTCGAGGCACTCTTTTTTGACATCCTTACGGGAACAATCGTTTTGGAGTTTCGGCACGCGCGCGAAAACGCGCGCGCAGCATTCGTCTCAGCTGGGTTTTTTGCGACGGCACGCGCGCAAGGTCGCGCGTGCGATTTTGGCACGCGCGCGCGGGAGGCCTGATTGGTAACATGTTATGAGAAGGTTGAAAATATAGCTAGGGTTTTGCTGAGATGTCTCAAAAGCGCGTGCGCGGGCTTTTGTTTGACAGCTCCTGCTGCGAAACCACGTGTTTTTTTTCAATGTTTCGTGACGCTCGATTTCGGAACCCGTGCGACACTTGAGGTTCTTGATGGATTCCGGCATGCGCGCGCGACGGCGCGCGCGTGTTCAATTTGTTTTTTGTTTGCAGGGGGTTCTTGACAACCGATGATTTATGATAATCGGGTGCGCGCGCATAAGGTTTTCCAGAAAAAAGGCAACCACAATTCCGGACTGGCTGGGATGGTCTGAGTTCATATTTCGGATGGACGATGTGGCGGAATCGTATTTGAGTTGCACATCCCCAGGGGGTAGTGATAACTCCGGCCACGGGCGGGTGGTGGATCCTTATTCTTTGTTGAAAAAAAGGATTTATTTTTGGGGCGGTGACGAGGCAGCGAAGGGTCGGCGACGGCGACAAAAAAGCCGCACGACCGCGACACCAGCCCAGACGAAGGTCGGCGACGAGGCGGCGACGGGGCGGCGACGGCGGCAACATAGCCGCAAGACCGCCACACCGGCCCAGACGATGGCTGGCGATGCGGCGGCGAGGGGGCGGCGACGGCGGCAGCAGAGCCGCAAGAGCAACACCGGCCCAGACAAGGGTCGGCGACGAGGCGGCGACGGGGAGGCGCAGGTTGCCACATAGCCGACGTACCGCCATACAAGCAGCTCAGTGCCTTAGAAGAAAAGCGAAAACCTCTCAGTGCAATAATTGATTAGAACATGCTTTCTCCAGGCCCAAGGAAGGCCCCAAAGGCCGAAATGGAAACTGAAACACAATATCCGCCCGAAGCCTGGGACCATCCTCGACAGTCGTCGTCGTCGTCGTCGTAGTCGTCGCCGTCGTCGTCGTAATCGTAGCCGCCGCCGCCGCCGCCGCCGTCGTCGTCGTCGTCGTCGTCGGCATCGTCGTCGTCGTCGTCGGAGAAGCGGCTGACAAACAGAGCTCGCTGCCTGCAGCCCTGAGCCCATCACGGCGTCAGTGGCCCGGCCGAGAGGCCCGCCGGCGGGGGTGGAGGCGGCTGGGGGGGGGGGGCGCATCGTCGCCTCTCGGGGGAGGTGGCGGCGTGGGCCGAGGCGGCGGGGGCGGAGGCGGCGGGGGGGAGGCTGCGGGGGGGCGGAGGCGGTGGAAGAGGGCCGCTCCCCGCCGAACAGGGCCACTCCCCGGCACCGCCAGGAAGGGGCTCACTTCGCCGCCGCATTTCGCTGACGTGTCGAGCGGGGTGGCCGCCAGAGAACAACCTGCAATCCTCATGAGTTGCCGGGCGGTTTTCGAGGAAGCGCGCCAGGAAGGTGATTTTTTGTTCACGAGTCGGCTCGCCTTCAGGGCCGGTCGGCACAGCAGAGCATCGCGGCGGCCAGCTGTTGTGTGGCTTCTTCATCTGGTGGCCGTGGCCCTGGCCCGGGGCCCGTCGACAGGGCGGCTCGAGGTGGAGCGCCGGCCCGGGGGAACTCGTCGAGAGCCTCGGGCGGATGGCAACGGGGGGCCCGTAAAACAAAAAAAAAAAAAAAAAAAAAAAAAAATCGGGGATCGCAGGAAAGCTCACCCCAAGGGCCCCAAAACAGCCCCCAAACTGCCACCGCTGGCCCAAAAGGTCCACGAGAGGTGCACGCTTCCTCACCCCAGGGCTGCTGCTCAGGCCTCCCAAGCGGGGTCGGGGTAGGTGGGGTCGGAGGATCGCGATGCGGTTCGATGCGGAGCCCGATATTTTCCATACCGAAGTCGCCGATTCATCGCCGACGTTGGCGATGCATCTCCGATGCTTCGGCGATGCGGCACGATCCATCGACCCCATCAACTCGGACCCCGTTTGGGAGGCCTCCGTGTTGCCCCCCGTCAAAGAGCAACCTGGGTCCCTGGGGGCGACGCCATCAAGACATGTGCGACATCGGAGGAGAATGTGCGGGCAAGAGTGGCTCCTTTACGGAGTGACACCCCATGCGGACCCACCACCCCGCGATTCTTTTCTGAGCCCATTCGCCGTGCAAGCTCGTTCGGTCGTCGAATGGGCAGCCGAAGGGGCTCAACTCCAAGATGCTGTTGGGAATGTCGCCCGTTCGGCGGCCGAACGGGCTCAAATTTGAGTCCGTTCGACGGCCGAACGGGCCCAGAAGCGACCCCCAGAGAGCAGATTTCCAAGGCCATACTCGCCTGCTTTTAGTTTGGACCCAGGCGACCAATCGCAAGATGTGACCGCTCTCGTATCACAGGGGTCTTTCCCTGGCAAGGGCCCGCTCGCTGGGGTTCTCTGAGGTTGATAGGACCCCCCACCGTGCCAACTTGGCAGGGTGGGGGTTCTACTGGGATCGCCGCGGGTGTTGCTAAGAGGATAGGGGATACAAGTAAGTGTGGACGTAATTGATATTCATCCTAACCCAACTTAAACATAAACAAACAAACATATGCCCTAAGTGGCTTAAGGGCGCACCGATCTGGGCTAAGTGGGCTGAGCCCAATTCGCGGACTTATCTCATCACCCTCAGCCACTTACGGCATTTGTAACCCACTTCTGAGGTGGGTTCGGCCAGATCAAGCCCACTTTCGCATCCACTTCTAACCACCCCATCCCCTTAGCAACCACCGCCGCGATCCAAGTACCAATCTCAAAAAGGCAACTTGACGTCGACTCGCGAACTGCCCCTTGGTTCTCGAGAGGGTGCTGCGGCCACAGTTGTTGCCGCCGGGTCTGGCCCCCGGGCCGCTTTTGTCGCTCAAGGGTGCTGCGCGCATGATATTCAGTCGGGCATGCCCCTCTACGGGAGGAATATCCCAAACTAGTTAAAATGTAGTCTGGCGACGATTCTCCTGAGGGCTCAGGGGCTGAAGGCATCGGTGTCCCTCCTTCTCCTCCTCCTCCTCCTCCTCCTCCTGCCTCCTCCCTCGCGGAGGGGCGGGACCCTCCTGCCTCCTTCTCCTCCTCCTTCTCCTCCTCCTCCTGCCTCCTCCTTCTCCTCCTTCTCCTCCTCCTTCTCCTCCTCCTCCTGCCTCCTCCCTCCTCCTCCCCCGTTGCCTCCCCGCTGAGGGGCGGGACCCTCGCGGACCGGGCCGAGATTGGAATGGGGGAGCTCATGTCGGGGGAGCGTAAGACCCTGGTTTGCCAGGACTCGGGTTCGCCATCGTTTTTTGACGACCGCGCCTCGGATTTTGACGAGTAGGAGTTTCATGGGATGTCTGCAGCGGGAGGCCTCGTCAAAATGCAGGTTCGGCCTCGTCATTTTTTTGACGACCTCGTCGGGGATTTCCGAGTCCCCTGTACCCAGGTCTTACGTCCCCCTGATCATGGAGGAAGGCGGGGTTCAGCAGGGGCACCGGCGAGAGCTCAGACGGGCGGCGGGGCTCCAGCAGGAGGAGGAGGATCTATCGAATGGTAAGGGTATCACTACCAGAGCGATGGGCACCGAAGGGGGGGCGAGTCTCGGCGAGAGGACGGGATGCAGGGCCTACTTCGTACCGATCGATCCGGTTCGATGTCGAGTTGGCCCGCTCGGTAAGGTTCGATTCCGTTGTTCTGAGGATCCGAGGCGGCCCGATGCATGCATGGCGTTGCTCTGCATACTGGCGCAGCCGATCCGATTCGACCCCGACTTCGTACCGATGCGGCTCGATCCGACGCGCAGTCCGATCCGATGTTCCGATTCGATGTTGACTGATCCATGAGATGGGGCTCCGGCAGTGGACGAGGAGGAGGGTCCGTTGGATGGCACGCGGGTGGTCAGGATGATGAAGGTGGACTCCCCTGGCGGCACCTCGCGCCGCCCCTGGCGCGCTCCGCGCGCCAGGGAGGGGGGTCGAGCGCAGATTCGAGAAATCCGCGCGGACCTCCGAGTTTTTATGTTTATGTCATTCTTCGTTCTCCTTTTTTTCGCAACGCGAGAGTCTGGGTCTCTAGACGACCCCGGGAGCCCAGGGAGACGGCCTCGAGCGTGTTTGAAAGCGAAGGGAGCCCGGCGCGTCGGAGCGCGCGTGATTACCGCGGGGCAGCGGGGCTCCCTCCCGTGGAGGGCGACCCCCCGAGGCAGTGCCGCGAGGGGGGGGGGCTTGCTGAGAGGGCAGGGGCGCTTCTGAGAAGGCATGGGGCCCTTGTCCAGCGCGGCGAGGAGGAGGAGGAGGAGGAGGAGGAGGAGGAGGAGGAGGAGGAGGAGGAGGAGGAGCGAGCAGGAGCGAGGAGGAGCGAGGAGGAGCGAGGAGGAGCGAGGAGGAGCGAGGAGGAGCGAGGAGGAGGAGGAGCGAGGAGGAGGAGGAGCGAGGAGGAGGAGGAGCGAGGAGGAGGAGGCGGAGAGGATAGGATAGGCTCGCCCTCGGAGGAGCAGGCGCCGCCAGAAGGAGGAGGAGGAGGAGAAGGAGGAGGAGGAGGAGGAGGAGTTGGCCTTCTGGGAGCTGCTGAGTGGTGTGCTGTACAGTGGCCCCTGAGGCCTGCTGAGGAGGGAGGAGGCCCCTGCCCTGGAAGGCCCCGCCGCCGTCTTGGAAGCCCACCTCCCTCGCGCCACCCTCTTGTCCCGACCGCCTTGTCTCGGTAGCAACTCATTGGAGCCTGGTATGCCCTCTTAATTCTGTCTTTAGCGTCGATTAGCGTCGAAGAGCGTCTGGGAGTGGATGGGATAGCGCCGACTTAGCGTCGGCGATTGTCGATGTAGCGTCGATTTAGCTTAGCGTCGGCTATCGTCGATTCGCACAAGCCGACAACATGGAATGGGAGGCTCCCATGAGTTGCCACCGAACCTTGCCATGAGTTCTATTACACCGCTCGGTGTGCTTAGTGCTCCCTTGTCTCGTGCCGAGTGTCTGCGTGGGGGCCTTCGCTCGGCGTGTCTGTAGTTGCGGTGATGCGTGCGTCACTCGGGATAATACAGCAAGGGGGAGATTCAGACACTACTTGGGGTCGTGTTCACGCTGCGGCGCCCACGATGATGATTAGAAAAACGGGCCCCCGGCCGGGAAACTACTTGTGGATCGCTCCCTCCCGCCGTTCGCGGGCGCGCGCCTGGACGGTCGACGGGCCAGACGGCGCCGCAGCGAAGCGGAAGCCGAGGATTTGCAAACTATGTTTGGCATCGTTCCCCGCACATTCTTTTCATGTACCGCCATCTCCGCCATCTTGTCCTGACTGGGCGTAGTGTTTCTGCGGCAAGGGATAAGTGAGCGACGCAGGAAAAAAATCGCAGGTCCAGTTGCGCCGACGTTCGCGGGCAAGGGATAAGTGAGCGACGCAGGAACAAATCGCAGGTCCCGTTGCGCCGACGTTCGCGGGCAAGCTGTCCCAGAAGGGTCGCGAGTAGGCACTCTCGTTTCCCACAGCGGCGCGTCGCGCTGGCGGCCCGCGTAGGCCACCGCGCAGGGTCGCCATGCCGTCCTGCGTAAGGCCCCCTGGCTTGTCGTCGCTCCAGTGGGCGTCGTGCTTCTGCGGCAAATGCAGGCCACGCGCCTAGTAAGGACGCGCGCCTTCTTCTAGGGTACCCCTGCGTCCTTGCCTCTGAGGCTAGTCCTTGCCCTTATCGCTGGTCGCCCGCCGCCCTCGAAAACCCAACTTCGGCCTCCGAGGGTCTTGCGTCCTGGCCTCGCGCCCTTACTACACGTTCTGACGGTAGAGCAGTGGAGCAGCTCCCGCCCGCAGGTCAAGGCTGGGGGTGCCCCGCCCCCCCGCTCCGCGCGGTGAGCGGGAGCAGGAGCAGGAGCAGGAATAAGAGGAGGAGGAGGAGTAATAGGGGGAGTAGGAGGAGGAGGAGGTGGTGGTGAGGAGGAGGAGGAGGAGGAGGAGGAGGAGGAGGAGGAGGAGGAGGTGCCGCGCGCCGAAGCGTCGGCGGCCCGCCTGCGCCGCTCCGCGGCCGTGGCCGCAGAGGAGGCTGCCCCGTGGGCCGGGCCCCGGCTCCCCGAGGGGGGGAGCGAGGCGGAGCGAGCAGGGGCGAGCAGCGAGAAGGAGGAGGAGGAGCGAGGAGCGAGGAGGAGGGGGGGGAGGAGGAGGAGGACGAGGACGAGGAAGAGGACGAGGAGGATGAGGAGGAGGAGGAGGAGGAGGAGGAGGAAGAGGAGGAAGAGGAGGAGGAGGAGGAGGAGGAGTGTGATAAGGATGAGGACGAGTAGGGATGAGGAATGGGGAGGAGAAGCCGGAAGGAGGACTGGAGAGGATAAGCCAGTGAAGGACTGGGGCGGAGGGAGACGGAGTGAGTGAGGAGGAGCGGGGAGCAGCAGTAGCGGGAAGGAGATGATGATGTTGATGGTGACGATGCTGCTGCTGATGATGCTGGTGATGCTGATGATGGTGAGGATGATGAGGAGGATGCAGCCGGGGATGATGAGGACGAGGATGATAATGATAATGATGATGATGATGATGATGATGATGATGATGATGATGATGATGATGATGATGATGATGATGATGGTGATGATGCTGATGTTGATGCTGATGGTGAGGATGAGGACGATGATGAGGGTGAGGATGATGAGGATGAGGCTGAGGATGATGAGGATGAGGATGAGGGTAAGGATGAAGATGCTGATGACGATGATGAGGATCAGTAGGCTGATGACGATGATGATGAGGATGTGGATGAGGCTGGGGATGTTGAGGATGAGGATGAGGATGATGCTGATGCTGATGGTGATGATAACGATGATAATGGTGAGTATGAGGATGATGATGGTGATTATGATGAATGGTGGCGGTGATGATGATTATGATGGTGATCCTGCTGTTGATGATGATAATGCTGATTCACATGCTGATGCTGATTATGATGATGATGCTGCTGCTGATGATGAGGCTGCTGCTGATGATGATGATAGTGGTGACGGTAATGCTGATGATGATTGGTGATGTTGATGATGATGCTGATGCTGATGCTGCTAATGCTGACGATGCTGATGATTTTGCTGATGATGATGATGCTGCTGATGATGATGATGCTGATGTTGATGATGAGTATGAGGGTGAGGAGGAGGAGGAGGAGGAGGAGGAGGAGGAGGAGCGAGCAGCGAGGAGGAGGAGGAGGAGCGAGCAGCGAGGAGGAGCGAGGAGGGGTAAAGAGGAGCGAGGGCGGAGCGGGGAGAAGCGAGGCGGGAAGAGGAGGATCAGTGGCGCCAGCACGGGGGGGCGGGAGGGAGGCTGGCAGGTGGCGGGGGACGTGGACCTGCGTGCCCCAACCTGCTAGGGACGCACGGTCTCGCTGTCGTCGGGGGTCTCTCGCTGCCCTGCCGGCCACTGCGCAGTCACCCCGCACAGTGAGGATGGGCAACCTTCCCAAGGGTGCCCTTGGCATCCTTGCCTCCTCGGTCCATCCCTGACCACTGTCGTTGGCCGCGCCCAGCTCGAGAAGCTTCGAGATGGGCGTCCAAGGTCCCTGCCTCCATATCGCGCATCCTTCTGATGCGGTCGGACTGCATCTCCCCCCCCTAACCGGTTCTCACTTATGTGTTTCTTCTGCCCTGCCGGGGAGGAGGATGGAGGAGGGAGGAAGCAGAGGGGGAGGAGGGCGAGTTCGCTGTTATTGTCCAGGCCTCCCGGATGGTGTCCGATTAACTGGATGGGCTCGAGCGTGGGCGGAAGCGGTCGGAAGCAGGGCAAGGGGGAGAAATGTGGGCACCGACGGACGGGTGGGAGAAAGGGTACGGTAGCTCACTGTCGGAGGGAGGGAGGGAAGGCCGAGGTTCGGCAGCTTTGGCTGTGGCGCCGAGCCCTTTTTGGGACTGCCTGCGACCCGTCGGTTTCGGGTGGTTTCGATTTTTCGCTGTCGGTTCTCGGTTGGTTTTCGGTGTTGCCGTCTCCGTGAACGGCCGGCGGGAGGGGCCGGGAGGAGGGAGCGTGGCCAAGGTTCGATCGACTCGATGGCCAAGACAAGGTTCGATCGACTCGATGACCAAGATCGACTCGAAGTTGGGTTCCGACGGCTGCGCGCGGCACCGACCGGATCGTCTGCGCACCACCCAGGGGCGGCTCTCCCCTCCGCGTGCGGTGCTATGCTCGATCGTCTCGACGGCGCAGGTGGCTCGATCGCTGCTGCGGTCGAGGGCAGCCTTTTCACATCCGTGACCTTAGCTGCCTCGATACCCCCGTTTTGATACGCATGTTTTTCTGTCATGCCGTGGCAGAGGCAATCCGCACGCGCGCCCGAGTGACACCAGGGCGAATTTTGATACGCAACAAGCACCGTGCTCGAAACGTCCGTGTCAACAAGGCGAACTTATCGCGTCGGACATACTTGTGAGGATGCGGGTCGAGCTCCGCATCGATACGCTACGTGTTGCGTGTTGCGAATCGGGGCAGCTAAGTCCGTGACTCCTCCCCCTGTGACACCCCTGTCTGTCGCACAGGGGGGTGGTGCAAGGGGGACCGCCTTCTGAAACGCCGGGGGGACTTCTTAGAGTGCATGGCGGGCTGCTGCATTATTTGCGCAGAAGCATTCATAAACTCTCGGAGGTCTGCGCGGTCTCCCGGATCGGCGCTGGGCCTCCCTCCCCACACCCACGGGCTGGTTTTCGATCGCTGCCTCTCGAGCTCCAGAGTCTCCAGGAGTTTCCAAGATGCCCAGGAATCTCCCCACGCCGCCTCCCACAACGCCCGAAGACCTCGATCCCTGAACCTCGATCGTCGCCGCTGAAGGAGAGGACGAAAACTGCGCCTCTTGTTCAGTGCAGGTATGGCCAGCCCCTCGACCCCGTCGTCCGACGCCACAGCCTCATCGCAGCGCGGGCGCCCAGGGGTCGACCCGCTCCCCGGGGCCAGCTCTTTGTCCCGAGCCGATGTTTGACTTGCCCAGGAGCCAGGGTGCACTGGCTTGTGGAAGCCGATTCATGGAGAGGAAGCATGCTGCCAAATGATTTCCAGATGCCTACAACATAGTTTAAGCATGTTTCAAGCATGTGAAACACATGTTTGAATGTTCCGACATGTTAAACACATTCTAAATTCACTGATAGGACTGTTGGGGTGTCCATTGTCGTGGCATCCACAAGCATTGGCAGATGGTGAAACAAGCCCGCATAAGACAGTTCCGGCAGCCCGTCTGCGGAACAAAAGTGGAACAAATGTACCCTCTCGTTTCAGGGCTCCATCGGATCTCGAAACAAGCCAGGGCCCAGGGAGCGGCATCCGTAGGCCAAGCAAGCTCCAAGGCCAGCCGCCACCTGTTTGCGTCGCCAGGATCTGAGCCCCTCCCGAGCCGTAGTAGCACATCTTCTATTCCCGCTGGCTGTCCGCCGCCTTCCGCTGGCGGAGCTCCCCCCGCCTTGCTGCGGCTGGCCTCCCGCCGAGGACGAGAGACCGACCAGCAGGTTGATGCTTCGGCCTGGGCGGTGCAGCGCAGCACAGTGCAGCATCGGCCCTTACCCCTCTCGACTGGGGGGGCGGATCTGCTTCGCGATCTCTTTCCACCTGGCTCGTGACGCGACCGGCACGCGCGCGGGCCAACGGGGACGGCATCGAAACAGATGGATGCTGCCTCGAAAAAAGCTGGCCCTTGATCCCCCCAACGCGAGGACAGTTCCGGAGCGCCCTACCTGGTGGCCGCCACTTGCCCCCAGAGGTCTCCAGAGGTCGGAGGCTCCCCTCTGGATGCCTCGAGGGTCCAGGGAGGGCCAAGAAGGCCTCCCAGCGCTGCGGACCATCGATCCTCGAGCCTCGATCCCCGAGCCGCAGAGCAGGTACGGCCAGCCCATGGCCACCGTGGCGCAGCCGCAGCAGGTGATGGTGCAGCCCCAGACGGTGGTTGTGCAGCAGCCAGCCGCGCAGCCGCAGGCGGGCGGCCGAAGTGTGCTTGGCGGACCTTGGGCCGAGGCGCGAAAGGAAGGACCGTGTTGAGCTCAGGAGAGGTTCCAGTTTGCGGGCGGGAGGAGAGCAGAGGGGGTGGAGGAGGAGAAAGAGGAAGAAGAGGTCAGGGCCACAGAAGCCCGCTCGTTCCTCATTTTCGGCTTTGCTCAAGGCAGGTCGATAGATGTAAGCATCCGGCGCATCTCGCCTTCGGCGGAAGGCGGCGGAAGGCTTGCGGAAGCTTCGGGAATTGAGAGAAGTACACTTAGATCACAGCAGGAGGGGCCACGGGGAGGACAGAGGGGGTGCATGCGGCTTGTGTTGGTTATGTTTGGCTTTCTCTTTGCCCATAGGGGGGTTACAGGTGCCCTGAGTGGCTTGGGGGTAAAGATCTGGGATCAGGGCTCAGTGGGTTCCGGCCGTTTAGCGGAGTTATCTGACCCCCTGAGCCGTTTCGGCATTTTCCATTGTCGCAAGAGCTAGGTGAGTCTAGATGTATCCTACTGTAGAATCCGCTTATCCCTCTCATCCTTGTCCTCCCTACTGGGTCTCTCGCAGCCTTTCGGACGATGCCGGCACCCGCAGACCGCCCTCAACGAGTCGCAACTGATGGAAACCACCTGGGGCTTCGGAATTTCGACAAGATTTTGAAGACTTCATAGAAATCGTGAGAAAACTATCCCCCCCCAGGCGGTGGCGCTCGGGTGTGAGAAAACCGCGGGGGTGAAAAAACCCTTCACCCCCGCGTTTTTTGTTTGTTCACCCCCGGTTTTTTTTCACCCCCGCCTTCTTGACCTCTTGCTGCCTTGCTCGCGCGCTGCACGGCACGCGCGTGGGACACCGCAGCCGTTTGGCCCAGATGAGGACCTAGAGTCCGAAACGCGTCGCCAGCTAAAAGTGGTTGAGATCGGTAATGCACCGAGAGGGCACAACATGCCCCTTTGTGTCGGAGGCTCACCGTGGCCAGCGACGTCCTCGAGTTCCCAGTTCGGCTTACCTCGTGGTAGCGAGATGGCGATGCCCCTGGATGGCGATGCTGATGACGATGATGCTGTCAATGTTGATGCTGGTGGTGATGTCTGTGGTGATGCTCCTGATGATGATGCTGATGATGATGACGATTATGCTGCAGCTGCTGCTGCTGATGTTGATGCTGACGATGGTGATGATGCTGATGCTGATGCTGATGATGATGGTGCTGCTGATGATGATGACGTGAACGGAGATGCGGATAAGGATGAGGATGGTGAAAATGATAATGAGGATGATGATGACGATGTTGACGGGGATGATGATGTTGATGATGATGACCACGATGATGACGATGATGATGCTGAGTATGGTGATGATGCTGATGGTGGTGATGATGTTGATGGCGATGACTGCGATGATGATGCTGATGATGGTTATGCTGATGATGATGCTGATGATGATGCTGATGATGATGATGGTGATGATGATGTATGGTGATGATGATGATGTATGGTGATGCTGGTGGTGGTGATGCTGATGACGATTATTGCGATGCTGCTGATGCTGATGGTGATGATGATGATGCTGATGCTGATTATGATGGTGATGATAACGATGATGATGATGATGATGATGATGATGATGATGATGATGATGATGATGATGATGATGATGTTGATGCTGATGCTGCTGCTGCTGATGATGCTGATGCTGGTGCTGGTGATGCTGACGATGATACTGATGCTGATGATGAGGATGATGATGCTGCTAAGGATGATGTTGATGCTGCTGCTAAGGATGACGATGATGTTGATGCTGATGACGACGATTGTTGTGCCGTTGATGCTGATGCTGCTGATGCTGTTGATGATGATGCTGATGATGCTGCTGATGATGACGATGATGATGCTGATGATGCTGCTGCTGATGATGATGATGAGGATGAGGATGGGGATGAGGATGAGGATGAGGATGATGATGAGGATGAGAGGATGAGGATGAGGATGAGGATGAGAGGATGAGGATGAGGATGAGGATAATGATGATGATGCTGATGATGATGATGATGTTGATGATGATGATGATGACGATGATGATGATGATGATGATGATGATGATGCTGATGATGATGATGACGATGATGATGATGCTGATGATGATGATGATGATGATGATGATGATGATGATGATGATGATGATGATGATGATGATGATGATGATGATGATGATGATGATGTGAGCTTCCAGTGCGCACGGCTGTACGAGCTGGCGACAGAGAATGTACCAGCTCGGGCGGCACCCGCATGCACGTTCAATCGCCTCGCATGGGGAGCGCGTTCGAGCCTGAGCCCGTCCTCCCCCCACTGCCCTTACGCCCCTTTCCCCAAACAACAGCCCTCCCTCCCCCTTTGTTCTTGAGCCTGTCCCCCCTCCCCCCGCCCCGTACTTGAGCCCCCCCCGTTCCCCCCCCCTCCCCCAACTCCCGCGAGAGGCGGCGCACACCGCCAGCCCCGCGGTCGCAGAGCCCTCTCCTCACCCCCTGGAGGTCGTCTCTGGAGGCCCCGAGGTCCTCAACGAGCAGGCAGCACGTATGCAATCCATGGCGTGCTATCTCTTGTCGCCTGCTGGCGATGTGGCAGATTTGGAGACTGGGAGCAACTGGCGTGTTCTCGATATCGTATCCTTCCAACGGCGCGACTACTCGAGACGAAGTCAACGAAAACACGAACATAGCAGTCCCTGGGAGCACATGAGATACCACGGCCCGAAGCACTCCTAGGCGCAGGAGGATCCCACTGCAGTCCCTGGGGTGGGGGGTCCCGAATAAACTGGCGAAATTCCGCAGCTACCCGCTGGCGCTACAGGATCTTCCGAGGCGCATCTCGCCGATGTTTGATGCAGTGCGACGGCAGCGGCTTGCGCGGTTGCGTTGCGCCCCCATAGGCGCTCCTAAAGCCGCGCACCAAAGGTCAGTCTTGCCTGAAGTCACTCTTACGTGTAGACGAAGGAAGGTGCAGGAGGACCACACGGCAGTCACAGAGGAGGTCGTTCCCTGGCGGCCGCGCCATGCTGTAACGCTCTCTTGCGGAGGACAGTTGGCGCGGCCCATCGCTGACGCGAAGATCCTGCATGCCGATGCAGCCCAGGCATCCAAGCTGACGGGGTCCTCTCGATAACCATGGGGATCACTCCTCCTCCCCCGCCTCCTTCCTCCGTGCTTCTCCTGCCCCTCCTCCATCCATCTTCCTTTCCCTCCTCATCCTGCCCCCCTCCTTCCCTCCTCCTCCCGTCTCCTCCTCCCCTCTCCTCCTCCTCCTCGTCCTCCGTGCTCCTCCTGCCCCTCCTCCATTCATCTTCCTTTCCCTCCTCATCCTGCCCCCCTCCTTCCCTCCTCCTCCCCTCTCCTCCTCCCCTCTCCTCCTCCTCGTCCTCCTCAGTCTCCCCTAGGGGGCTCGGAGGTTGCCTGACTGCACTGTGGATGAGCCGCAAAAGTCCATGACTTCGATGTTCGATCTTCATCGATCCTCCCAAAGCCATTTTGGCTAAAGGGCTTCGTCCCAGGGCTTGCTGAAACTCCCACCCGTCCGCGTTCCCATGCCATGACTGGGCCGCGATGCCGCCGGTCGCTCCTTGCAGTAGCGTGCGTTTGCACCTGCATTGGTCGCAGCGCCGGCGTTTTCGATGGTGGCGATGAGGAACATGACCTTGGCACTCGCGCAGCACAGGCTGCATGGGCGGCTCTGGAGTCCGTGGTACACCAGGCGTCCCAACTGGGGCCAGGGCCGGTGGGGTCGAAAGATCGCGCCGCATCGCCGATGCATCGGCGATGCGGCACGTTCTGGCCCGACGTCGCCGGTGCAACGACGATGCATCGGCGATGCCGTGCGATCCGCGATCCTGCGACCCCGCCAGCTCTCCGTGGGGGGCCAGGTACGCTTAAGTCGGGCCCGTCCCTCTACAGGGGGGATTTTCCAAAATACTCCAAAAATAATCAGGGGACCATTTTCTGAGTATTTCTGGGCATCTTTGGAGCAGTTTTGGAATATTTTTGGTTCTTCGTCGAACATTCCCCTTTATGGGGGACACGCCCGACTTGAGCCTGCAGGTACACGACGACGCTGGGCGAGGCGCCAGCGCGGTGGACTGGCGCAGCGTGGAGAGCGGCCTGGCGGCGGTGCACCCGCACGCGGAGGCCTCCGCCGCGCTGGGCTGGCTGCACCTGCGCGGGGCTCGGCTGCCCGGGTATGCGCCAGTGTTAAGGCGGGCCTGTCCTTCTACAGGGGGAATATCCAAAAATAGTAAAGAAATAGCCTGGGGACCATGTTTGGAGAATTTCTGCACCATTCTGGAATATTTTGGGGGTACTTCTTATTCTTCGTCCAACATCCCCCGCAGGGGGACAGGCCCGACCTCTGCGCACCTGTGCGGGGCTCGGCGGCCCGGGGTGCGCCGGTGCCGAGGCGCAGCGCCGTGCCTCGGAGGCCCGGAGACTTCCAACGCACTGCAAAAGTCAAGGCGGAGGTTTTGTCGCAAGTTTCGGCCCTGCAGGGGCCCTCGCTGCCGGGCCTCGGGGCCGTGAGGAAAGGACTCGGGATGAAAGCCCGGTCCAGGGGGAGGGGTCGAGACGTCCGGGGACCGCGCACTGAACGAATCACGACGTCGGATCTCTGGGGGGGGGCCCCGTGCCTCGGAGGGGGACCAGTCTCGGGAGGGGAAAAGACATGCAGACAGGATGAACCGCCCATTCCCCCAGAGAATATGGGAAGATATGGGGAGTGGGGGGAAGACGAAAGCCCCGAAAAGATGGGGAACATGTGGGGGATCCTGTTATTTGTGTCTGTTTATTTAATCGCTTCGCTCATTCCGCCGGCCCATAATGTCGCACCGTGGTCGCCTGTCCGAGTGGTCGTTTGCAGTGTGGAGCTGCGGCGTCGGGAGCTGTGTAGTTGTCGATAAAATTGTGGCTGTTTTTTCATGGGGCTTCTAGGTGTTTGCAGTTTTTTGACGGCTTTGGTGCCATCGTGGGGGCGTGTTACCCGTGGTATCCCGCTGTGGGGCCGTTCGAGCCGGGGGAAGAGATATCTTAGCTTATCGACCCGCGTTTCCCAAGTCGCGTCTGGCTGGAGTCTTGGAGGCGTCCTGGGGGCCTCCTGAGGGTTTTTTGGAGGCCTCCTGAGGGCCTTTTGGAGGCCTCTTGAGGCCTCTTGAGGGCCTCTTGGGGACCTCTTGGGGCCTTTGGGGGCGTCTTGGGGCCTCCCGGGGGCCTCTAAGGGCCGAGAGCTCGAAATTCTGTTTCGTGAACCCCCTCTCGGGGCGTTCTTGAAGCGTTCTTGGGGCCCTCTTGGGCCGTCTCGGAGGCCTCTTGGGCCGTCTTGGAGCCGTCTTGGGCCATCTTGGAGCCCTCTTGGGGGCCTCTTGGGTCCTCTTGGGGCGATCTTGGAGGCCTCTTGAGCCGTTTAGGGGCGTCGGGGAACCGAAAATGTTGAAACGCCCAAGTTTGTCCAAAACCGAAGGAAAAGCATTGTTTGTTTGCCTCTTGGGGCCCTCTTGGGAATGCACTTGGAGACCTCCTGGGGATCTAAGAGGCTTCTTGGGTCATCTTGGAGACGTCTTAGGCCGTCTGGAGGCCATCTTGGGCGTCGTGGAGCGATATTCGGGCGTCTCGGACCTCTCTTGGACCGTGTTGGGGGCGTTCTTGGGGCCCTCTTGGGCCTTCCTGGAGGCCTCTGGGGCCGTCTTAGAGCCGTCTTGGGCCGTCTTGGGGCCCTCTTGGGGGCCTCTTGGGCCCTCTTGGGGCGATCTTGGAGGCCTCTTGAGCCGTTTAGGGGCGTCGGGGAACCGAAAAGGTTAAAACGCTCCAATCTGTCCAAAACCAAAAGAAAAACACAGTTGTTTGCCCCTTGGGGCCCTCTTGGGAGTTCTCTTGGAGGTCTCTTGGGGCATCTTGGAGGCTTCTTGGGCCATCTTGGAGACGTCTTGGGCCGTCCGGAGGCCATCTTGGGCGTCGTGGAGCGATCTTCGGGCGTCTCGGACCTCTCTTGGACCGTGTTGGGGGCGTTCTTGGGGCCCTCTTGGGCCGTCTTGGAGGCCTCTGGGGCCGTCTTGGAGCCGTCTTGGGCCGTCTTGGGGCCCTTTTGAGGGCCTCTTGGGCCCTCTTGGGGCGATCTTGGAGGCCTCTTGAGCCGTTTAAGGGCGTCGGGGAACCGAAAAGGGTGAAACGCCCAAATCTGTCCAAAACCTAAGAAACAGCATTGATGTTTGCCTCTTGGGGCCCTCTTGGGAGTGCTCCTGGAGGCCTCTTGGGGCATCTTGGAGGCTTGTTGAGTCATCTTGGAGACCTCTTGGGCCGTCTGGAGGCCATCTTGGGCGCCGTGGAGCGATCGTAGGGCGTTTCGGATCTCTCTTGGATTGTGTTGGGGGCCTCTTGGGGCCCTCTTGGGGCGATCCTGGAGGATCTGGGGGAGTGTCCCGGGCGTGTCCCGGGCTCCTCTTGGGGTACTTTTGATCCAGGGACACCCAGGGGCCGCCACGCGCGCGCGAACCAGAAATACTGTTTACCAGTTGCCGGAGATCTTAGCACGCCTCTGGCCCGTTGGGCCGGCGAATTTGTGTGTCCTAGGGCCCCTTCACAGTCGAGATAACGGTGTCGGACGGTGGCCCTCGTGGGCGCTCTCTCGTCCCTGACGGGCCTCCCGGAGGCTGCTGGTCGCCTCGGCCGGAGTTGCTTTGATGCACGGGGGTGGACGGACCTTGGGAGGTGGCCAGGGGCGCGAGAGCCGCCGCTGTCGCAACTGACCCTCCTCCGAGCACCTCGGAGTGCAACTCCTGCGGACCTCCGGAAGCTTCTGCTTATGATGTTTGTCCTGTTCTTACCGCGCTGCGTGTCGGTCCAGCACGTGCTGGCTCAGAACTCTGTGCCGGGTGCACCGCACTGTGCCTGCGCATTTAGTCTGCGTGTTGAGTTCTGTGCCAGCGCGCTCTGGGTACGCGTTCTGCGCATCGTCCGATGTGGGACGATTTCTTCAGTGTGCGTTCTCATAGGTCCCGACTTCTTCCCCTGGCCCCCCTTCCACAGGGGTTGTCTGTGACCCCGGGGCCCTATTTAAAGGGCACAGGCCCCGAAAGCTAGCACAAGCGCCAGGACGGAAGCATCATGTTGCCAGATATCTGGGGCAGTCAAGCAATGACGAAGCGTCTTGGTCTACCACCAGGCCTACCAAACATGCTCTAACATATCAGTTATCGCATAGTACAAGAATATGTATGGTTGATGCGGTCTTGCGTGCACCCATCGGTAATGTGCTCAACAAATATTTGGGCAATGAATTCCTTCATTCGCTGTAAGAACAGTCCTTATTTCGCCCACAGGAATGTCGGAACGGCTGTTGCCTGTTTCACGATCGAAGCCTCGAGGAAGAAGGAGGAGGAGCAGGAGGAGCAAGAGGAGGAGTAGAAGGAGGGGGGAGCAAGGAGGAGTAGGAAGACTAGAAGGAATAGGGAAGAGGAGGAGGAGGAGGAGGAGGAGGAGGAGGAGGAGGAGGAGGAGGCGTGATGAGGGAACGGAAGGAGGAGGGAGCAGGGCAGGAGTGGGTGGGAGAAGGGGCAGGGAGAGGGAGAAGGAGGGCGACGGGGCGGGGAAGGAGGGAGGGCGAGCCAGGATGGAGGAGGCAGGAGCAGGACGGAGGAGGAACGAGGGCGGCAGGGAGAGAGGGAGGAGGAGCAGGAGGAGGAGGAGGAGGAGGAGGAGGCGGAGGCAGAGGCGGAGGAGGAGGAGGAGAGGGAGGGTAAGGTTTGGGGTGCCCGGCGCCAGCGGCGACTTCGCACCCCCGGGCGGCTTCCGGCGCGACGTCGACCGCGCCGTGACCGTCCTCCGCGAGGGCGCCGCCCTCTCCGGCCCGGCGTGCGGGCGGTGCTATGCCCTGCTGGGGCTGCTGCTCAGCTGGGGGGCGTCCAAGAGCCCTTGAGTGGGTCTGGGCCTCCCAGATGGGGTCGGAGCAGGTGGGGTGGGAGGGGCGCGCCGCATCGCCGATGCATCGCTGATGCGGCTCGATGTGGAGCCCGAATGTCTCCACGCCGGTGGCGCCGAAGCATCGCCGACGCTGCCGATGCATCGCCAATGCATCGGCGACGTACCGCCAATGTATCGGCGATGCGGCGCGATCCTGCGACCCCATGTCCTTCGACCCCGTCTAGGAGGCCTCTAAAGATCCCTCAAGTGGGGGTGAGGTCTACATACGTTGACTCGCGTCGTGAAACAATCATGACGGGAGTGTTTTGTTGTTCCATTGTTTTGCCTCCGAGTTTCGAAGAACACAAACATGATGTTCAAAAGCTTGTGCTTATGCTGTTTTCTCTTCCTCTAGAGGTGATATCTACGTAGACCCAGACCCCCTCGCGTCGCGAAAAACACGTGGCAAAAGGTTTCTCGCTACTTTCGGCCTCGAGGGGCCCTTGCAGGGCCTCGAGACCGTCAACTAACGACTTAGGATGAAAAGCCGGTCCCAGGGAATGGATCGAATTCTCCGAGGGTCCATGTCGTCAAAAAATTGAGGATCTGGGGATGTGCGTTTTGTAATTCCCGAGGCGTACTAAAAATTCAGTCGACCCTAGTTCGGTTCTTGTTCGACTCTAGCTCGACTCGAGTTCGATTCAGGTTCGACTCAAGTCGACAGACGTTCGACGCAGCATCGACGTATCAGTGGAGCGGGAGGCTCCAGGAAGGTCCCCAGAACGAGCATCACATCAGGACTCGGGGGGGAACATCATGGCTGGGGCCGTGACTTACGGATCTCATAGCTCCCTCCTCTCCTTTCAGTGCAGTCACTGGACTCCCCCCCTTCTGTTCTCCTCCTTCTCATCTTACTCCTCTCTTTTCCCTCGTTTCTCGTTCGTGAGCCTGCGATGCTCGTGGACAGGGGCGTGGCTGCGGACGTTGGCCACCGCAGTTGTGAGAGTGGCGCAGGAATAATAATTGCGGGTGGGATGTCTGCTGTGAGACATCTCGTCCGCGCACACGTCGCGGGCCATGATGCGTCCCCCCCCCCCCTTGTTCCTGATCCCCCTCTTGGGCGCACCCGACGAGCGTGGGGTATCCGCCGCTGGTGAACGCTGCGCACGCTTCGATGGTGCATGTCCGAGGCCGGAGTCTACGCATACCCAGATCTCCGACGATCTGATCTTTTCCATTCTGTCGCTTTTTGCTAGATTTCGTGGGTATCCACCGCGTGGCGAGTGGGCCTCGCCTTCCAGCGATGGAGCCGATACACCTGGACCCCAGGAAGCGGCGAGACTGGATATCGTCGGCCTCCTCTGGGGCCCCCAAATTCTTTCATGTCCACCGCTCCCTGGGTCCCATGGGAGATCGGATCTACGTATGCATTCTGGCCTCGCATCACTCGATGATCCTCAGGACGGGCTGGCCCAACGTGTGTCCACCCACGCCTGGCTATGCGAGCAGCACCCGCAGCCTGTGTGGCCCGCGCTGATTGGTTACACCGCCCGCGCCTTTTATCCAAGGGCTTTGGTCGTAGGCTACTTCTCGCCCCCCTCCAACAACTGGCCGCTCGGAAAAGGAGGGGAACTGGGGGATGCATCCCCCCCTCGGGGGCTATACGGACGCACCCCTGCCGAGGATGAGCGCCGCCCATCCCCCCCGCTGGGCTTGGCTCCAAACCTTGGGTCCACAACGTCGGGCATTGGGGTCGCCATGCCCCTCTGGGCGGCGCGGCGCGCCCAGGGGGGACGTGAGAGGGGGCGGCGCTCCTCAGGGGGCTCATAAGGCCTCGGGCCTCGTGGGAACTTCCTGGGCTGTTCCCGAAGGCACGGTGGGCTTCCCAGACGGCCCCGGGGGCTTCTGAGAAGCGCCGCCGCCCTGTGAGGAGGCCGGCCCCCTCCCACTCCCCCCTTCAGGGGCAACGATAGGAGGGGACGGGCATAAGGGGGGGATGCATCGACCCCCAATCGCCCATTGATCGCCGATAGGAGCCCGATGGCCCCAACCTCGCCCAGGAAGGTTCGGTGTCGCTGTCGGGGGCCTATCGCCGATCTGTCTGCGATGTGTCGCCGATTCCAGGTCGATGCATCCGCCCCTATGCCAGTCCCCCCCCTACATCGTCGCCCAACCCCTGGGCGCGTCGCCACGCCCTTCCCGTCAGAGCACACGTTGGCGCCAGCACGAGTTCTGAGCCTCGTCGCACCCGTGGCCGCCCGCTGCTCTTCTTCAGCGGCGACGTCTGGGCGCGGCCGCACGCCTCCGCGGCCGCCGCCCGGCTGCCGAACGACATCGGGCGGTCGGGCGTTGCGGAAGGGGGGGGGCGATGATTGGCGGCCAGCCCGGGGGGCCTTCTCGGAAGGCTCGGAAATAGTCCTCCAGCCTGCTGAGAGGTTTCTGGAGCCTTCCCCGAGGACGCAGACAGCTTCTCAGAAGGCTGGAGGGCTTCCGAGAAGCCCCGCCGCCTCTTGAGAAGGCCTCTCCCCTCTCACTTCCCCATCGCTGGCCGCCGAGATCCGCGGGGTGGCTGGAGAAAGGTGCACCTTCTGTGCAACATGAGGGGCCCGAGAGGGGCACCCGTGGGGCTCCCCAAGGGGGCCCGAAAGGTGCACGTCTCTTAGCCCCCCCATGTGTGCTGCTTTTGCTTCTCCTCTTGCTCTCCCCCCCCTTGCTGCTCTCCTCTCTCCTCCTTAGCCACGGGGCGACCTTCTCGCGCAGGTAAAAAGTGCTCCCATTTATCTTGGCCTCCCAAAATGGGCTCCGAGCAGAGGCGGTCGGAGCATTGCGCCGCATCGCCGATGCATCGGCGACGCGATTCGATGTGGAGTCCAATGTTCTCCACGCCGACGGCACTGATGCAGCCCCGCCGTCGCCGATGCATCGGCGATGCGGCGCGATCCTCCGACCCCATCTACGTGGACCTCACAAATGAGGGCTATGATCATGGCCAGGAATATGTCCTAATGTCATGTTTGCCTGCCGCTTAGTTGCAGCTGGCGGCCAAAACGCAGCGCACATTTGTTCCAAACCCTCCTTGGTTGGATTCTCGTTTCGAATGGGGCCCTGCTAGGGGGTCTCCTTATCCTCCTTCCTGCTCCGCCCTCCTGCCTCATACTTCCTGCCTCCTGCCTCCTCTTCCTTCTCTTCTTCCTCCCTTCTCTCCTTCGTGGGCTCCTGGGAGGTCCAGTGGAGTGGAGTGGTACGCGGACCCAGTTGGGACTTCGCGGCGCCCTGCGTGGTTGCGACGTGCGCAACCGCCACCATTTTCGTGGACTCCTGGGGGGTCGCGCGGAGTGGAGATGTACGCGGACCCGATTGGGACCTCGCGGATCCCTGCGCGGCTGCGAAGTGCGCAGTTGTCGCCGCGTTCGTGGGCTCCTGGGAGGTCCAGCGGAGAGGAGTGGTACGCGGACCCAGTTGGGACCTCGCGGCGCCCTGCGCGGCTGCGACGTGCGCAGCCGCCGCCACTTCCGTGGACTCCTGGAAGGCCCGGCGTAGTGGAGTGGAACGCGGACCCGTTTGGGACCTCGCGGCGCCTTGCGTGGCTGCGAAGTGCGCAATTGTCGCCATTTCCGTGGGCTCCTGGGAGGTCCAGCGAGGTGGCATGGTGCGCGGACCCGTTTGGAACCTCGCGGTTCCTTGGGGGGTTGCGAATTGCGGAATTGTCGCCACGTTTGTGGGTTCTCAGGAGGCCGCGCGGAGTGGAGTGGTACACGGATCCAGCTGGGCCTTCGCGGCGCCTTGCGTGGTTGCGATGTCCGCAATTGTCGCCATGTTTGTGGGCTTCTGGGAGGTCCAGCGGAGAGGAGTGGTACGCGGACGCAGTGTGGACCTCGCAGCGCCCTGCGTGGCTGCGACGTGCGCAACCGTCGCCCCTTTCGTGGGCCCCTGAGAGGTCCAGCGGAGAGGAGTGGTACGCGGACCCAGTTGGGACCTCGCGGCGCTGTCTTATTGCAGCTCGTAGGGGGCCGCTGCGCCACGCAGCGCATGGCGCTGTTTTTTTTTTCCGCGTGGCCTCACATCCTCAGCTGCCCCTGGCCCGCCATGTCACCCCGCGGTCTTGCCTCGCTCAGAGCGACGCGCTGTTGTGCTTCAGAGCCAGCGCATGGCGCTGATCTTATCCGCATATGTAGCTATCGGCTCTGATGCTGTGATTGAGCATGTATGTCGTATGTCCCTCCTTCGCACCCCTCTGTATGCTGATGAATCCGTCTCTGTGTTGCTTATTCCTGCACGTTTTCTTGCGCACCTCTTGGAGCTTATGCGCACTGCGGGTCCTTCAACATGTTTGTTTGCAGTCTGCGGCCCTATATCTATAAAGGTATATACATATCTAAATAAAGTTCGCCACGCGCTTAGAACAAAGGGTTTGGGCACGTCACCAGGTAAGTTTTCAATGCCCGTCGCACGGAGAGACGGCCGGAAACATCTGCTCGAGGAAGACGAGGGGGAGGGGGAGGGGGAGGAGGAGGAGGAGGAGGAGGAGGAGGAGGCGGAGGAGGAGGCGGAGGAGGACGATGAGGAGGAGGAGGAGGAGGAGGACCAGTGGAAACCCAAGAGTCATCCACGATGTTGGAATTCACCCTCCCTCCAAGCTCCTTCTTCATAGGCCCCATACAACGGTTCATTTCCATTGAGGGAACTGCCTCGCTGGGAGACAACAGTTCGGAGATCCTGAAGCGTGTCAAAACATTGTTCGGACGCCACGTATCAACCTGGCTGCTGCGTCTTGACGATCCAGAATCGTGCCATAACGCCATTTTTGGGACTTCGATACAGCGAATCAAAATAACTGTTGCGCTGGGGTAACCCAGAATCCGTTCAAAAACGCCATTTCTGGTGCATTGATCATGCGAACCCGAGAAATTCTTGCACTTACAAAATGCGGGCGGCGCTAAGGCGAGAGCGACATGTTGAAAACGACCCGCCCTCAATCCGTGAAGCTCCTGCAAGTGTTTAAGGCGAATGTGCGCGGCAATAAGGCGAGAGCGACATTTTGAAAACGACCCGCTCTCAATCCGTGAAGCTTCTCTGCATTTGTTTAAGACGAATGTGCGACGCGCTAAGGCGAGAGCCACATTTTGAAAACGACCCGCCCTCAATCCGTAAAGCTCCTCTGCAATTGTTTCTCACGGGTGTGCGCGGCGCTCAGGCGAGAGACACATTTTGAAATCCACCCGCCCTCAACCCGCGAAACTTCTGCAATTGCTTATGACGAATGTGCGCAGCCGTAAGGCGAGAGCCACATTGTGAAAGTCGCCCTCAATCCGTGAACTCTTGTAACTTTTTAAGCTTCAGAGTCATCGTGAGGACGTCTCAGGTGAAACGCCCGGCCCGCCCTAAAAACTGGCCTCGGGGTGCGACAGGGAAGAGTTATCTACAAAAGGAGAAGGAATGGAGGAGGAGGGAGGGTGAGTGGGGAGAAAGACAAGCGGGATGGGGAGGTGGAGGACGAGGAGAAAGAGCAGGACGAAGAGTAGGAGGAGGAGGAGGAGGAGGAGGAGGAGGAGGAGGAGGAGGAGGAGGAGGAGGAGGAGGAGGAGGGGGAGTTGGAGGATGGGGGGGGAGGAGGAGGGGCGAATGAGGAGGAGGAGGAGGAGGAGGAGGAGGAGGAGGAGGACGCGTAGCCCGGCGGGGGGGGCGCCCGGGCCGCGGGCGTGGGACCGCCCGAAGAGCGCGAAGGAAGAAGGAAGGACGACGACGACAACGAGGAGGAGGAGGGAGAAAACGAGGAGGACAAGGAGGTTGAGGATCGCCATCTAGGAGGCTTCTAGCCTTGCGCCCGAGGCGGCCCGACCCCGCGGCGGCCGCCTACGCGCTGGCCGCCGCGGAGGGAGACGCGCTGGGACTCCTGGCGGTGGCGTACCTCGAGGCGAGCGGCCTCGCCAACGCGGCGACTCTGCGCGCCCCGGGGCCGAACCAGGCTCTTGAGGGGAAACACACACAGACTCAAAGAATCGTCGGCTCCCCGGGAAATGTGGAAAGTGTGGGAAGTGCAGGGCGAGACGAACTCCTATGAAATATGGAACATTCCGGGAATCCGGGAATTTGTGTGTGTGTGTACGTGTGTGTGCGCGTGTGTGTGTGTGTGTGTGTGTGTGTGTGCGGTGTGTGT